GGCGTTTTTTTTTTTTTTGCCTCCGAGTTCTGAGTTTTTTTCGTTGTTCTTTGGTTGTTTGTTTTTGAGTTTCATTTTGTTTTGTGTTTTCCCTTTGATGTCCAGGTTTTGCACTTTTGCGTCCATTGTTTTTTCCTATTTCATAGCATTTTTTTGCCTCTCTGACGCCGACTTCGATCTCTGTCGCGAGTTGGCAACATTCTTAGAGGGTTCCGACATCGTCTTTTTCTCGCGGCTAGCGGCTCTCATCATGTCGCAGGACCGGGGGAAGGATCCGGTAGACTTGTTCACAACCGCCCGACAAAGTCATAACACGAATACGTTTGACTCGCCGTTCAAGGTCGAGCCGAAAGTCGACGACAAGAGGAACGACCCGATGTGGCATTTCGTAGCCAGAGGGCGTTATTTGGATGGGTCGACGATGGCGGGTAGGAAGAGCGGTCGTCGATGCCTGTGTAGGTTCTGCGGGCGTTCGATTTGTGGGGGCGCTAAAGCCGCTAAGGAACACTTATCGAAGAGCGAGAAGTTCCAATGTGAGGCAGCCACTCCTGCTGTGTGGTATGTGATATGGTCGAAGGACATGACAAAATATCCGAAGGAGTTCACGTCGGCCATAGAAACATTGCAGAGCTTATTGCCAGGCCATCCGAGCTTGCACTGGCCACCTCTTCGATTCCCCGAGGATGCAGTGCCGCCGCTGGTTCCTGCCAACGCCCCTTCAGGACCAGTCGCCAGTCGCATCGCCCAATTCTGGGGCTCCAACTATTCGAGTCACGGTAGCGCGTCCTGCAACAACAGTTGCAATACGACCGGCAGCCCCACCGTCTGCACCGCTGGCTGGGACACGAGGTGCTCGCGATGTGGAAGTTGGTCGTTCCACGCCAGCCAACTAACCCCTGCCTGTGAGGGATAGTGTGGGCTCTGCGACATTTGACGAGGAGAGCACACGTGCTTTTATTGAGAGTCGCAGGTGGGGGGCGAGTGCCGGCAGTTCAGCAGTGTTCGCCCCTGTGTTCAGGAGTGGTAGACAGTCAGATGCCGCACGGGGTGGTATTGCGGTGGCACCTGACGCATCGCCCCGCGGTTCTTCCGAGCACCCCTGGCTGCCACAGTCGCGAGCGGCGCAGCGTCCAGTGGTCCACCATGCTCACGCAACCGCCTTCCCGGATCCGTCACACGCACCTGCGGATGCTCGACAATTTGCCTCCGTGCCTCGTTTCGGGGAACAGGCGGATCATGGGGTGCCTGCCGAGGAGGTCCCCGCTCTAGTGTCTGATTCATCGCCGACTCCGATTCCGACAACGACGGGTGGTGGTCGGTCTGCCCCATAGCCTCCACCCGTGTTGACCGGATCGTTAGACCCTTTGCAGCGCATTCGCGACATTGCAGTCGCCCAGAGCGTGACACCTGTGAGTCCTGGAGGGTTGTTGGATGCCGAGGTCCTCGGCGGGAGATCCACGACGGGTCAATGTGGGGGCACTTACAGGCAGCGGGCTGTCACGTCATATTATTCGAACTCTTTGGAGCGCGCGTGGCAACTGGAAATCATGCGGTTCATCGTCGAGAGCGGGATGTTGTTCAACTGCACGAAGCTTGAAAGCTTCAAACGCATGTTCACGATGATAATCCAGCCGGGGGTTCCAAGGGCGCCCGCGCCTAGACTTCCCTCCTACCACATGCTGCGCACGACCCTTTTGGACGAGCTGGATGGTGAGGTTCATGAGTGTGTTCGGTCGGTGCTTGACACGTTGAAAGAGACCGGTTGCAGAATCATGACCGATGGTTGAACCAACATCCGTGGTCAGACGTTGTGCAACTACCTTGTTGGGACAGAGATCGGGGTAGCGTATGTGGCCACCGACGTCATGCACGACAAAAAGTACGCCAGTGCCCTCGCGAACGCATGGTTGAAAAGGGTGAAGTCCATTCTTCAAGCGCCATGGACATGCGAGAGAGGTTCTTGAGGCGTACTCGAAGAAGACTCTTCAGCTACCGGCGGAGACGCGTTTCCGCAAGAACGTCATCATGATGACGAGGCTGGTGGAACTGTGGGCAGAGTTGACACAGATTGTGGGCGATGATCGCTGGCGTAAGACTATTTGGTCGACCAGCAAGATCCGCAAGGACGCCGCAGAGGTCACTGCGTGTATCGGCTCCCCTCCATGGTGGGAGGATTTGAGAGCTCTGTGCAAGATGCTCGAGCCCATCATGGACATGCTGAGGTTGGTGGACAGCGACACACGCCAGATCAACAAGATTCTGCGACGTTACGAGGAGACGATTGCATCTTGTTTATCCGCATGTCGTGACATTGATCGGGACCAGCAAGACGCTATTCTGGAGGTGTTCCTCAGGCGGCGCACCATGTTCAAGACCCCTGCCCACATGGCAGCCATGCTGCCAGATCCAGAGTTCCGAGACACAACGCTGTGTGACGATGCGGAGGTGCAGCAGGCCTTGGTCGAGGCCCTGGTCAAGTTCGGCTACCCGGAGGGATCGCCGCAGCACCGGAAGGTCCAACGAGCGGTCCCCAAGCTCCACATGAGGGAGCCCCCTTTCAATGAGCTCACCATGCAGCGAGCTGTGGATATCTTTGATCACCCTGCCAGTTTTTGGTCCTCTAAGAAGGCGAAGTTCCCTCACACGGCCGTGTTTGCAGGCAAGATCCTTCGTATATGGGCGACTGCATCACAGTGCGAGAGAGCCTTGTTTCGTTGGAGCTTCATTCATTCGAAGTCTCGCAACAGGTTGGAGGTTCTCTGGGCTGAGAAGCTTGTGCTGTGCCACTGGAACCTCAGGCTACTCGATCGACCTTCGTTGTGCGACGATGGTGTTGGAGAGAGGCCCGACATCTTCGGGAAATGGGTGCATTATTGGCAGGTCGTGGAGGACGAGGCGGTCGTGGACCAGCAGCTCGTCAGAGGCACCGGTGCGCTGGCGAAGGTGACCGAGGAGGAGTTGAGCCTCGCCAGAGAGAGGATGCACGTCGTTCCCCGCATGGCCCGCATGGGAGCCGAGCGTCGATGAGAGCGTGAAACACATCATGGGCCTTATTCTCGAGGGCATCGGCGGGATTGATTGGGTGGTTTCCCGCATTGCGCAAGCGACGCTGGTTACACGGTTCTTCAAGCGTCATGGACATGCGAGAGAGGTTCTTGAGGCGTACTCGAAGAAGACTCTTCAGCTACCGGCGGAGACGCGTTTCAGCACGAACGTCATCATGATGACGAGGCTGGTGGAACTGCGGGCAGAGTTGACACCGGTTGTGGGCGACGATCGCTGGCGTGATACTGTTTGGTCGACCAGCAAGATCCGCAAGGATGCCGCGGAGGTCACTGCGTGTATCGGCTCCCCTCCATGGTGGGAGGATTTGAGAGTTCTGTGCAAGATGCTCGAGCCCATCATGGACATGCTGAGGTTGGTGGACAGCGACACACGCCAGATCAGCAAGATTCTGCGACGTTACGAGGAGACGATTGCATCTTGTTTATCCGCATGTCGTGACATTGATCGGGACCAGCAAGACGCTATTGTGGAGGTGTTCCTCAGGCGACACACCATGTTCAAGACCCCAGCCCACACCGCAGCCATGCTGCTAGATCCAGAGTTCCGGTGTCGGTGCGAATACCCTTACAAGGGTATCCGCCCTGGTTTTTGCAAGCGATAGAAAATAGTTTTGGTTTAAAGTTTAAGTATACCGCGCTAGGCGCGGTTGAGTCTTAGGTTTACATTGGCGGGATAGTTGACTAGAGCAGAGAGTGTGTGGGCGCGCAGGCTCGAGGTGCGCGTGAGTTTTATCTTTGATGACTGAAGAGCCGGCGTGGGCACCGACCAAATTTTAAATTTTGATTAAACTAGGATTAAATATTTTTTTGTCGTTTGATTAATGCACTTACCTGTGACCCATGCGTATGTACGGAGGACGGCATCGACAACAGAGTGACTTCTGAAAGCATTTCAGTAGACCCGCGCGTTGCACGGTGGCTGGTTATTTAGGCATCCGCCAGAGCTAAACCCAAATTCAGGCTTAGCGCTATTGGTTACAGCGACGGACTTTCGTCTAGGGGGTTCAGGGAACAAGGTCGAGTGGCGACGACACGAGGATCAAAGTGGCGCGGACAGAACGGTGGGGTTGGGAGCCCGACGGGGCTATTCCCTTTGGTTTTGCCGAAGGCGGCGTTAGAACGGTGCTAGCATTCTCCTTTGCCCTCGTCCATCGTCTTCGCACGGTTAAAAGKTTTTAGATATCTTTGTTATTTTTGTGATAYTTTTTTTTTGTGACCCGRCACTCTTTGAYTCGGACGTGACGCCGGGTTTAAGTGGCYGCCACGGCGGCCGAGGACCTTGAGCTTGCGCATCCTTTGACGGTTCGATCGGTCTCCTACACGTTTGGGGCGCGGGCGGAATTTCTCTACTCCGCCCGTCTTGAGATAAACGGACCAAGGGGKTTTAACGTGTGTGCGGACCGGTGGGTGATTAGCCCACGAGGCGGCGCGRCCGAGGAGAGCGAGAGTCGCTGCGGTGCACCATCCGCCGGCCACGACTTGCTATGATAAGACTGAGTGTGAGTGTGTCTGTTGGGACAAGTATGGTGGTAAACTGTGCCTGGGCGAGAGGCGCCCGTGTAAAACTGTCGCAAGGCTAGCTGTGCGTCAGGGCTGTCCTAAGCCGCGGTCCGCACGGGACCTTCCCTCTATGTCGATGTCAAGGTCTTCGCCTGAAGGCTGCTGCCAATACCAAGTTCCGTACTGGGACCAGGTTGATTGTGGCTCAGACTACGGACTGCGTTGGGGGCCCAAGGTGGCGGTGAACTCTACGTAGGCTGAGCCGACCAGGGGAGGGTGTGGTAACAAGCCTACCGAACGACATCGAACTCGGGGATAAGCGGCGGTAAGAAGTCATGCAGACCGGAGAATAGTTAGCTCTCCCCTGCGGTCCGCCTAAGGATAGTGGAGCCCGTCCGACGGTTCATCGAGGTGCTAAGGTAAGCCACCACCGAGTACCGTTACTTTCAAGGAGAGGATTGGAAGTACAGTCGATGGAGGGAGCGCTGGGAATGAGTACAGTCGGACCATGGTGATCGTTGAGCGCTGCGCTAGGAGCGAAAGAGCAGGGCGAGGCAGCGCGATATCCCGGGCGGTGTTCGCARCCAGGCGAGTGTGCAAGTAGTGACGAGCTGCGGGCAGCAAGGGGAAGTGAACCTGGGCAGGGAAGGGCGCCAGGTGCATTCGCGAGTAGACAGCRAAGGAGACAACGCAAGGGGYGAGAGCGGCGCAGCCGAGGACAACGAGGCCAGGGAGCGAATGGGAGGAAGGAATCTGGGCGCGAATCCGCACCGGATAAATTCGACAAAGGGAGAAACTGGAAATTGGCAGGAGAGGCGCAGCAGGAGAAGGATGGCTCTCGTGATGCTCGACGGGATTGGACGGGGGAGAAGTCGAGATCGGGGGTTGGAGGTAAGACAAGCCGAAACTGGCCGCTGAAATGGGCTGCGCTGCGCAGCGCAGCATCGAAGACCGACCGGGCGAGGCGGAGTGCGGACACAGTGAGAAACAAACGTACCCGGGCGCGATATTGCGCCGGGTACATGCAAATAAGAGGTGGGATGGTGGAGAAGGAAAAGAGTGAGTACTCGCTCATATAGAGGGCGATTTCGACGGGGAAAAATGCTAGATAGGGGGTTTTAGGCAAGGCGACTTCGATGATGATGTTAGTTTTGAGAATGGATTAGTAGATAGGAAGGTTAGCAGAGAATATGGTGCGCGGAGGTATGGGGGACGGAGGAAAGAGGAGGAGAGAAACGAGCATATCTTGCTCGATTCTCAACGGAATCAGGCAAGGAAAGACACGGTACCGGGGTTCTTAAGTGATGCGAGTTAGATGGTGAAGTCAGATTAGTGAGAAAGTTACTAGAGCGGGAGTGGTAGAGAGAAGGAGGTGCGATGAGAAGTCGAGGAAGGTGATGGGAGGGAAGACGAAGTAAAAATCGGAGTAACTCGCTCATTCGCAGAATTCTAGTTTGGGGCTCGGATTTAGCGTTGCGAGCATCAGGGGCKGCGCCGCGTGATTGGAGAAGAAGGAGAGGAACTGAAATGAACCTTCCTATGCAAAAGGGGAAGATTCATTTTCGTTTCACATGATTGATTGCAGCCCGCTCCCCACGGCTACCCCTCGCCAACTTCGAACGGCCCGGTGCGTTCATACACCGAGGCCGCGATTGTGAGAGAGAGAGAGAGAGAGAGAGAGAGAGAGAGAGAGAGAGGGAAAGTGGACTGGGAAACTTATAGGAAGGTCGCACAGGAGGGAAGGATTTATCGGGAGGACATAGCGGCCATAAACGCAGTAGGTTGTGGCCCGTCGGGTTTGGACCGTTCGATCGAAGCCGGGTGTATTGAAAGAGGAGAACCCAACTTCGAATCAAGGAGGCGGGCGCAACATTGCGGGCGAGTACGCGCAGGCCAGCGAGGGGGGCGAGCTTGGCAACAGAGCACGGACGGAAAAAGTTGTAAAAAATACTGAAAAGGGGGATGAATCCGCCCGTCCTTTGGGAGAAGATTCCTTCTCATATCTTTACTATAAACAGAAGGGATTAGCACTGGAGGTGAAAGCGAGGTAAAGAAGTTAGCAGGGGGGAGAGGGCCAAGACGAGCGCAAGAATCCTAGAGGGCGGAAAAGTTTAGGCGCTGCTCATAAGTCAGTCAAGTCATGCTGCGTTTTGTCTCTTTGTGGCTCTGCCCACGGAGCATGTATGGGCGTGATCACACCGGACGGACGGGTGTACTACTGAGCAGGTTGAAAGGGGCTCGACGAAGTGATGGCTGTAACTGGCTCCTCTGAAAGTGGGTCTGATTCCGGGCTGCGGCGGCTGTTACTCCATTCGGGTACCGTCTGTCACTAGGATGAGACTGAACTAGTGATGCCAACTCAGTCCGATACTAGCAGTCAAGAGTTACTGCAACAGCGGGTGATAGGCCACCAGCGTTACTGTGGGGATCGATTAGGAGGCTTACTGGGCCCAGACATAGCCAGGATGGACAAATTAAGAGCTCTATCTTGATTCTATGGGCGACAGAACTCGGATCCCTTCCACGGATAAGGCTGACGATACCTGAACAACGAGGCGGCTGCATGCTAATTTGGTATTCATCGGTCTCTCAGCAACAAGCTTGTTGTCTCTCTTTCCTTGCTATTGTTGCCGCTGGTTTTTCCTCGCGGACTCCTGGCTAGTTCTTAATGGTGATCGGAGCATCCCAACGGATCATTGTTGCATTTTGAAAGGGGTACTGTTGTTTTTCGAAGGGGCTGTCCAGTCTGATTAGTATTGGTAACTTGGTTCAGAGACTGACACGCCGATGGTGGAGAGGAAGGTTGTTTGTGAGGTCTGTGATTGCAACGCCGCTGTGTACATCCTTGTTGCAGTATCTTTTCCGTTGATGCTACTACTGGGATGCCCTGATGACTGAGGGAGTTGTCTGGATCTTATTGCGAAGCCAATCTGGGTCATGGTGCGACTAGTACCTTATCATAGATTGACCCAATGCTTGCGGCCTGTGTCATGAGGGTTTAGTCGGATGCGATTGTACTTTTTTGTTATGCGCCTGTCGTGGCCTTGCTACTAGTGTCGTACATTGCATGGCACCTTGCTGTTGCGTTTGCTACATGCACACCCGTATTTGAACAGAGCACGAAGGGGTGGGCATTGCGATAGTTGATAAGGTAGAATAGCAAGTAGCTTGAAGGTAGAAGGCAAACGATGAGAAGGGGGGGGATATTGCTACAAACTCGAAGTTTGTCTGGGAGTTGACGCGCAAAAGGGCAGTCTGCCCACGATTGACCAGGCTGGGCTTCGTATTCCAGCCGCCATTGCGAAGCCCTCAGGAACATCCAGGTTACAAGGCCCTCTCCAGTGAGGTTGAGAGCGCCCCTCTTGTATCTGAGAGTCTCAAACCTTCTTCTTTTATCCTTCTAAGTCTAGGTCTAGTCCTTGGTTACGATAGGAAGGCGGCTGGCGGGATTGCAACCCGTAGGTCCGCGTCAAGACTCTGTGGGGAGTCCACCCACCGATTGCGGGAGCTCTGCCGGAACTCAGGAGGAGTTCTGGAGCCAGGGAATCGTAAGGTAACCCATTTCCATTTGTACAACCTACTACCACCCATGTTTGTTTATCCCCCTGCAGTATGACTGTTGTATGCATGAGGTTGTCCCTATGGTTTTTGTTTTCTCTTCAGGACTCAATCAGACTGGATGGAAGGAACGTGTGAGAGTGAAGCCTAAGTTTCTTTCTTATTTTGGTTGAAAGTAGAGAAAGGGACAAACTGGGGGAAGGTGGGAGGAAGGTAGTCTTGCATGCGTTTGAAAGGTCAACCAAAGCCTGAGCATTGTTTCCATGGTGAATGGTTCAGGGCTGTGTTTATTTGATTGTTTTCTGAAGGACCAGGCATTGTTTCCATGGTGAATGGTCTGGTTGCTCTAAGTAACTATGGGGAGTTGCCTGATTGAAGGAGTTTAAGTTCTTGTTTATTCTGAGGGAGGATTTCTGGTCTAAGGCTAAGCATTGTTTCCATGGTGAATGGTTTAGCCTGATAACCACGCACATAAGTTAAACTGAGTATAAAGGGAAAATACTTTATATATATTTGCATGTGAACTGACAGCTGGGCATTGTTTCCATGGTGAATGGTCCAACGTTAAGCCATATCATTAAGAAGATAA